TACTCAGCGGGTACTGAAACCAGAGACCAAACCAGCAGGAAAACACTGACTGCACAGAGACAAGGGTTAAGTGTCTTTATTTTTATTTTATTTTTTTCAATTCGAGACAGTCTCACTAAATTGCTGCGGATAGTCTCTTGATTCTCCTGACTGGGCCTCCTGAGTAGCTGAGATTATAGGCTTGAGCCACCGTCACTGGGGGTAGTTAATTTTTGATGGGTTTCTTCACCCACTGAACTTTTTTTTTTTTGTATTTGAGGCAGAGTCTCACTACGTAGTCCAGGCTGGCCTTGAACCCATGGTGATCCTTCTGCCTCAGCCTCCTGAGTGCTGGGGTTATAGCTGTGCACCACCATGCCTGGCCCGCCCCCTCATCTGATGCTAATATACTGCATAGTGACAATTCGTATTTTTCCTGGTCTGTCCCCTGTGAAGGCCTGTGCTGGCAGACGGAACACATGTCAAGTGTCCTTTGCTGGAGGCAATGGTTTCTGCTTATGGATCCCGCTAGGTCACCAGTATTTATTGTTGTCCTTGCCAGGCTCCCTATTCATCCAGATGGTGCTGGGTGTGGCAGTGCTCTTCCTCATAAAGGGCTAAACTGTATCTGCACGCCTCTGTCTGTAAGCTTACATCAGATCGCCAGGGCCAGAAAGAAAACCTCCTGCAAGTTTGGGTGCCAGTGTTACACTTGCCTTGGATCAGCTCCCTTTCAGTGTGAGAAACAGCTGAGGACTTGGACACAGCTGGCCTGAGGGCCCGGAACTTCCTATTCTGGTTGACAAAACCCATTTTAAAATATCATCATAAGAAGGAAAGGCTGGGGCAAAGCTCAGGACAGTGCTTGCCCAGCGCTTGCAGGACAGGATGAGGGGATCCGACCCCATTAGGAGGAATCTGACAAAGGCAGAGGAGGGAGAGACACCCTGGCATTGTTAGAACTTTCTTCTTTTAGTCATGCAACCTGAGCACACTGGTTTGCTGTCTGTAAAGGCCCTGGGACCACCAGCAGCATAACACGATAAAGAATTGTCAGAATTCTTTCAAACTAAGAACCCACAGTTCTGATGAATCTAGGTTGAGGTCATGAGTAGTTATTTCCATCTAATGTAAAAAAAAAAAAAAAAGTATGCATTGTGAGACATTTCAATTGCTGTTGTGTGGACAGCAGACTGTGTCTTACTCACTACGGGTGAGAATTCATGTTGCCTAGAATTTCCTGTCCCAGGCCCTGTCCTCTCCCATCCCACCGGGGCTGGCTTTTCTTAGATGGGAGAGTTTCTACTTAGCACTTGGCAAAATTCGTTAATTCCACTGGATTCCAAGTTCTTTTCAGAGAACCAGATATTCTTGTTCTGCCAGTACTGTAGAGGATGCCGGGCCAGGAAAGAATGGGTTTGGAATGAGAGACAAGCGGTTTAAGTTTCTTTTCCAGCCCTAGGTAGCTGTATGACGAGGGGGAAATGAGGAAACCTCACCAGAACGCCTGGAGTGCAAAGGGCTGAGGTCACCGGGCGCGCCTGGCCGGGGAGGGGCCCTCAGGTCCAGGGTGTACTCAGCGGGACCTCCCCGCGGCAAGCACGGGTAGATCCTGGCCCTGAAACCGTTGTTCAATAATAGGACAATCGCTTCTTAAATAGGGAGCGAGGAACACAGGCGAGGTGCTCTCAATCTTGAGATTGTGCAGAACCCTTTTCTCGCGTGGACATCTTGTGTTGTGTCTGTGTGTGTGTGTGTGAGAAACAGCCCATGCCTGGGGCTGGGCGTGCAGCTCAATGGTAGAGCGCTTGCCTAGCAGGCATGGGGCTTCTAGGTTCGATCCCCAGCACTGCAAGAGGAAAAAAAAAAGCCATACCTGTGTAGGTTAGGTGAATCAGGTATAGGTAAGGAGGGCGGAAGTGTGTAGCTATGGTGACGGAGAGGTCTGGCTTCTACCCGGAGGTGCTTTCGGAACCAAACAGCCAGCTCTCCGGAGGCGGCTAATCCTCAGGCCCCCTAGTGTTCCTAAACCTGCTCCGGGCCCCTAGTGGTCGGTGAAGCGGCTGTAGACAGATGCTGCCATCTTGCGGTGAAGTCTCAGAATGCGCCCTCTACTCGGCAAGGGCTGAGCTTTCTACTTGGATTTTCAAGCGGACCAGACTGTCTGATTTTGGAAGAGAATTAAATTATTCTTTGAGAAAGCAATTCTTAAAAATGTATAAATTGGGAAAAAGATGGATGTATTCTAGAGTAACATGTATATCTACTTATTTAGCCGTGCTAGGGATGGAACCCGAGTCCTTGTGTGTAACAGGCAAGTGATCTTCCACTGAGCTCCAGCTCCAGCCCTGCTATATTTTTAAATTTACTGAAACCTTACAAAGTACCAAGTCACTAAAGGCTGTCAGTCCAAAGCTCTGATAAACCCATTAATTTTGCTTTCATTGTACTTATTTAAGGAAAAAAAACCCCAGATTTTTAGAATACAAATTTATACTAAACCAAAAAATATCCAAGATCAACTTTTCTGTTTACATTTTTATTTGAAAGGCCTAACACAGTCATATTTTTTTTTTTTTTTGAGATGGGGTCTTGCTATGCAGTTCAGGCTGGCCTTGAGCTCACTTTGTAGCCCAGGCTGGCCTTGAACTTGCAGCAATTCTCCTGCCTCAGCCTCCCAAGTGCTGGCATTACAGGCGAGCGCCACCATGTCCAGCCTATCTCCAGCCACTCTGTTATAATTTTGGGATTTGCTGAGGGGGTGTTTGACTCTTCATCATCCATTCTCCAGGGAATCTGTGAGATTTCCACATTTTCTGACTTTCTAGGCGATCCTGTCACCTCTACGGCATGATTAGGGTGTGGGACACTGCCAACCTGTGTGCCACTGGGCCTTGCTGACTTCAGGTCCTGCAGCCTCTTGGGCATCGCAGCCCGCAGCAGGAGGGTCCTTCCTCTCCTCCATCTCCTTCCCCCTCCCCTTCAACCTACAGGCCGTCTTCTTTTCTGTCTTCACCCCAAAAGGAAACCTTCAGAGAGGAATTCCTTTCTCTTCTGTCTTGCTTCTTGCCAAGTAGCCCTGCGGTGTCAGCACCTCTGAGTTCTCTTCTTTCCGCGCTCACAGTTTAGGTAACACTGTGAAGAGGACCCACAACATCTCTGTTTGCTGCTTTGCTCTGTTCTCTCTTGAGGCTAGGGTGACTCGGCGATTGCTTACAAGTTCCAAGACACAGAAATAGGCGCGCAGGCCTCAGCGATTCCGCCACGACCCAAGTATCACTCTGCATTTCTCCTTCGGGAGTTCTTGCGGCAGTGATGGTGGCCAGAATGGATGTCTGCACCGCCATCTGACCCAGAGTCCGAAAGCCACCGTTACCCACCCAGAGTGAACCAGCCGGTGAGCCCCGGGAGCTGCGTGGTCCTGTGCCCTGGCCCGAAGGAGGGCAGCGGGGCTCTGCCACCGTCAGATGGGGCACACGGCTTGCTCCTGGCTGACCTGTTATAATAATCTGTTATGGTTTGTTGTCGTGTTTGTAGGTAGTCCTCAAACATTTACCTTTTCTTTCCCAAGAAAACATTAAAAATCCTTCCTCCTAGATCTTTGAGATCGTACATTATTGTCTGTAGTCTGCCTTCTGGAACTTGTCTGTAGTCTGCACACCAGAACTTTCCCCTCCTGTGCAGCTCTAACTTAGTACCCATCAATCAATCAATCTCTCCTTTTCTTACCACTGCTGTCCTTACTAACTACTGCCGGGGATCGAACTCACAACCTCCGGTTTAGCTAGGCAGGTGCTTATGCCGCTGAGCTAAGTCCCTAGCCCCTGTCCTCAGCTTCTTTAACATCGACTCCTTTATATTCCACGTATGAGTGAGATCGGATTGTTTTTGTGCCTGGCTTATTTAACATAATTATCTCCAGTTTCATTGATGTCATTACAAATGACAGGACACCATTTTTAATGATTGAATAGTACTTCACTGTGTGTAGGTACCGCAGTTTCTTTTCTTTTTCTTTCTTTTTTAAAATTTTTTTTTATTTTGAAGGTAGTAAAATACAACAAAACAAGACAGAACAAAGCCAATCAAGACAATGTAGTGAAATTGGTACCGAACTTCAGAGCAGAATACTGGGATAACAGTAATAGGTACCGTAGTATATCTTGTTATTTTCACAATAGTTGTTCTTTCAATCAGGTATAGCGAAATCAAACCAAATACAGAACGCTATAAAGCCAATCAAAACAGAATATTGAATAGAGCAAAACAATCAGAACACAGCGAAACAGTGAGAACAATATTGGCCTTCAAAGAGAAGATAGAAGGAAATCCCCCGTGTTTGCTAGAAATGCTCCCCCAACCCTGCTCAGACCTCTGGCCCCAGGTCAGCATAATCGACTCAACAATACCGGCTTTAGTTGCTTTATGTACTTTAGTTGCTGTCAACTCTGGCTGTCCTCAACGCCAAGCACGCCCGGTCTACTTTAATTTTCAGAGGAATTTCCATACTTCTTTCGGTAATGGCTGTACAAATTGCTGTTCAGTGTGGAAGGGTTCCCTTTTCTCTACGTTCTCACTAGAATGTGTTATTTTTTGTTTTCTTTGATTGTGGTGATTCTTACTGGAGTGAGGCGACATCTCACTGTGGTTTTGATTTGCATTTCCTTCATGATTTTTGATGTTGAGCCTTTTTTTCATACCCGAGTTGGAGAAGTGTATATTTAGGCCCATTGCCCATTTTTGATTTTTTCTGTTGAGTTGTTGGAGGTCCTTATGTATTCCAGGTGTTAACTCCTTAACAGATGTGTGGCTTGCTATCATTTACTCCCATTCTGCACATCGTCCCTGTTCTTCGATTATTGAGTGGGCAGAAGCCTTTTAGTTTGATGTGATCTCCTTTGTGTCTTTTTGCTTTGGTTGTCTATACTTTGCGGGTTTTGTCTAAAAAGTTCTTGCCCACTCCAGTGTCCTAAAATATCTCCTCCATGTTTTTACTCTAATCTCTCAAGTTCTCCACGGTGAGTTGGCTTTTTAATTGGCGAGAGGTCAGTCTCCTCCCCCTGCACCTGGCCATCAGCTCTCCTGGCATCACTTGTTGGAAACACCCTCCTCTCCCCAGTGCTTGCTCTTTGCACCTGTGGGGTGTTTGTAATTGCGGTTTCATTTCCTTTCATAGGCAGGGCTCTTCAGGCTACGTGTTTTTTTTACACGAGCTTTGGTAATTTATGTCATACGGATTTTTTCTCCCATTTCAGCTAAGGTTTCAAATTCATTAGCATAAAGTTATATTTGCTTTTCATCCTTAATATCTGTAGAAATGTAAGTGACTTAGCAGTCTCATTTCTGATGTTAGTAATTTGGGTCTTTTCTGTTAATCATGCTGGCCAGACTTTTATTAATTTTATTGATTTTCTCAAAGAACTATTTCCTGCTGTTTTTCACTATCCCTTTGCTTCCTGTTTCATTGATTTCCACTTTGATCTTTATTATTTCTTTTCTTCTGCTTAATTTGGATTTAATTTTCTCTTTTTCATTTTTAGTTTCTAAAGTAGAAGCAGAGTTTATTGATCTGAGAACTTGCTTCTTTTCTATTATAGGCGTTTATATACTTTTCTGTCAGTGTTCCTTTAGTGACACTCTGCAGTTTCAGGTAAGTTGCGTTTCCACTTTTATTTGGCTTCCATTTCAATTTTGTTTTTTGACTCGTGGATTATTTAGAGTGTATTATTTATTTTCCAAATATTTGAGGATTTTCCAGAGATCTATCTATTGTTTGTTTCAAATTTAATTTCTTTATGGTTAGAGAATTTTATGAATTGTGAAATAATTGACCCCGATGGCCCAGAGTAGACTTTTTTGGGTAACTATTCTGTACTTGAGAAGAATATTTTTCTTGTTGATGGCTTGAGTGTCCCATGAATGTGGGTTGTTCACTCTAACATCTTTGCTGATTTCCTATGTATCCTAATGTGTCCTGTTAGTTATTGAGAGATACTGAAATTTCTAACAATTTTGAATTTTTCTACTTTGATGACCACATTTTGAAAAGCCACTACCTAGGGAGTGCTCCTCATTCCCAAGGCAGGACATTCTGCTTGTCCGATGGGACTGCTTGGTACAGTGTTTCATTGCCAGTTCACTTTTCTGTCCTCTCACAGATCATTGTTTCCTAGATAAGTGATTGGGTTTTGTTATATTCACATAGAAAACACTCAAGAACTATTCTGATAATGTAAGAAAGATATTCAAGGGTCAGTCAGTGAACAAACAACAGAATTAAAATCATGAACAAGAATTCAGTGGAATCAGGACTGCAGCAAGAGGTGACAGTGAGAATACAAGGACTCTGGAAATTAACAAAAATAGCTGGGGCAGAAATGACTTCCTGCATGGTAAGTGAAAGCTGATGAGCACATCTGAGTTTTGTTAGCATCCAATCATAGGTGGGTCATATCCCTGATCCTCTCTGCTCCCTCCTTACCCCACTTCCAATGGCTCCGATAAAATATTGCTCCAGATCCAGGATATGGACCTCATGGACCTCATTTGAGAACTTCACGTGTACGCACAGATAACAAAGGTCTATTGCTTGGCACTGTGGTTGAACAGTAATGAAGGAGGGTTTCCCTTTGTCTGCAGTAAACAGAAGTAAGCCAGCTCATGAGAGAGGGAGGCATCATGCTTGGTGAAGGGAGTTTAGGGACAGAACCAAAGGTGTCCAGCAAGAATGCGAGGACACACGGGCGATTGAAACAGAGAGCAGTGCAAAAACAAAGCCAGAAGCAGACGGTTTGGGACAAAGCTTGAGAATGAGAAAAGGCTGCCAGAGATTCTTTATTTTTATTATTTACTTATTTTTTCTTAGTGCTTATTTGTAGTATATAATGATTATATTATTTGTTACATGTTCATAACAAATCTCAGTTTGATTTTCACCCCCTTACCCTCCCCTGTCTCTTGCTGTTTTTTTTTCAAAGTGGTGGTGGGGGCAGTAGGCTTCAATGGACAGAGAGTGGCCGTGGTAGACAAGGTTTAATCTTGAGAGGTAGTACATTTGGTGTCATTCTGCGGCGGTGACATAAAGAGGTTCAATCAATGCTTAAAGACCCAACTTTACAAAACCAAGACAGATGGTGAGCAGCTGTCACTGAATGAATGGGGAGAAAAATGTAAACTTGATGAAGCATTTTATCTCCCATCTGTTTCCCTCTGCAGTTTCAACTTGATGCCATAAATCCAAGTTCTCCACTTTCCCTCTTCAGGCTGCCCAGGTTACCTCTGTCTGAGAAGTGGATAGGCAGCCAGACTGTTTTGGAAGTGATCTGTTCAGCCAAGATGTCGAGTTTAGAGCTTTCAAAAATGCAGCCTCCTTGTTTTTGTTGTCAGATTATATTCATGTTTTCCTGCCCTGGGCTTGAACTTTGCAGGTACAGTGTCCTCATAAAGTGACAGGAAAGAATTCATTCACTACTATTGTGTTCAAATGTTTTCTTAAGCCACTTAGACACTTAAATCTGCTGGTGTGTACTAATGTGTGAGTTTATTCAGACCTTTTTTCTAGGTATTTGGGATACAGAGATAGGAAAGAAAATGAATAGACACTATTTAGTTACCTACTCAGCAGTTAATGATTTCTGATAAATCCATGGGCTACCTATGGGTTTGCTGGACTTGCCTGGAAGCAGATGTGTTCAGCTGGCTGCTGGACTGACCCAGTGTAGCTGCACCTCTGTGTCTAGTGCCCCAATGTTCATCCATGTGGCCTTTCTTGTTTCTTGTGGTATCTCATCATTCCGTAGTCTATTGCAAGTTTCTTTGCATTACTATAGAGAAAGTAAAAATTCCCAGGCTTCTAAAAGGAGAGGACCAGAAGTGGCATCATTTCTGCTGCATTTTCTTCATCAGAGTGGCACAGTACCCGTCTTTATTCAAGAGGAAAGGCAATGGACTTGCTAGGTGAGGTAGCTCACATTTATTCAGCTCATGGTGGCCCTTTTTGCAAAGTGTCCATCATTAAAACTACACTTCAGTGAATACTTTGTGTCAGACAGCAGGCCACACACCTGAGATGTACTGTATTATTATCATTTTGTGAGCTCCTCAGACATAAAATTCTCATACCCAGTGAAGGAGGGATCATTCTCTTCCCCATTTGTAAGCAAGCAAGTGGAGGCTAGTGGAGGTTAAATAAATCATCCCAGATCAACAATCTCATAGATTGTTAAGGTTTGAATTCCTTGGAGTCTGACTTTTTTTGTGCTATGACAGGCAGTGAGTAAAATCACTAAAATGTCAATATGTAGCATCAGTATGAGGCAAGAGATTAGGGCACAGCAAACCAGCTGGGCAACTGGATGCAGTCTGTCAATTATAGAGTAGTATCGTGTACAGGCTGCATGCACAGAGCAGCTTGGGAACCCAGATGACAGTTGTTGCAGTCAGTATTTACATGAGGAACATTTAATGCCGGACACAGAAATTTACAAGATTAGCTGACAATATCAACCCATAGAGTCAAAGGCAGAAGGGTGCAAGTGATCTGAAGAATGCACTTACTTTTCTGGCCTGCTCCATTAGCTGTTATTATCTTCTACCCATATCCCCCTCCTAACATCTTCATGTTAACCTCATAAAAGGCACCATCCTGTCTCAGGGCACTAAGGTTTTAAGGCTTTGACCAGTTGCTTCACATATGAGAAGAATGAGTTAAGAACAGATGCATGAGCAGCACAGCATAGATGCAGGATATAGCATGCTGACAGGAGACAGGGTGTTTATGGTCTTTAGCCACAGGGTGTGGGTGGATGGAAGGCTTAGTCATAGTTGGGAAATCAAACACATAGAGGAGAAAGGGTACCGCCTTGTAGCCTGGTAACATCAGAAAGAGACCTGTGAGCTGATGACTCATTTTCCTCTGCAGAAGCTGGCACACACAAGTATTTACTTTATGAGGGTCCTAATAGACTCAGAAAGATTCTGTAATGGTGCTGTGATTAAGAATGTCTGCTCTGATTTATGTGCTGCCAAATGAGTGGGATCCGTCAGAACTTAAGAAACTGCTCAGCAGAATGAAGGCAGTCATTTCTGAAGTGGGTTATTAACTTATTAGTGGCTCTCTTGTTTTTTATTTGCCTCATATCTGGGTATATGGTTGGGGGACCTTGGGGATGGCAGCTGAGATTGGAATACTTTACATAGAGTGCTTCCCACTACTTTGGTTCATTACCATCACTCGCCTTCATGGTTCATCAAGGGATTGGGAGCCTGGCAGGGAGGAGCGGGAGTGGGAGATCACTTCACATGTGTGCTTAGTCCTGCCCTGTGTGTGAGGTCTGCATGCGGTGCTATGCAAGGGGAAAAGGCTCGTGCAAGGGCTGGTTTCCACACAGTTCATTAAGGATGTCTGTGTGCTATTCTAAAACAGTACTGCTGCTGTGACTGCTACTCAATTCATAAAAGTAACAGTGAAAACAGTGATTAACATTTGTTTCCCAATTTTCAGCCTGTATTACAATGGGCTGGGCAGCTTATGCTTACTGTTTTGCATCCGCATTTGCTTTTACAGATGAGAAAACAGATTTCTCAGTTCCACCCCTTTAAGTCTTGGATCAAACACCAAGGTTTAAGCTTTGTTTTCTATGCTGAGAACTGAAATTGCTGTTGCATGCTGTATGCTGGCAAATAGGACTGTTAGTACACGCTTTCTTTTCTTTATTTCTCCCTTTCTTTTGACTGAGGATTTAACTCAGAGACTTACTGAGCTACATCTCTAGGCTTTTAAAAATTTTTTAAATTGTACAACAGCATCTCTCTAAATCTCTAGATTGCCTAGAACTAGAGATCCTCCTGCCTCAGTTTCCCAGGGTGGTGGGATTACAGGTGTGTGCCTCCATGGCCCTGATGAATAGACCTTTAAATAGCTCCTCATTATTTCCACACCATTTTTTTGGTTCTTTCTTTCTTTTTTTTTTGTCTTTTTCCTTTTTATCGGTACCAGGGATCGAACTCATGACTGTCTGTTTGCAAGGCAGGCGCTTATGCCGCTGAGCTAAATCCCCAGCCCCTTTTTTGGTTATTTCTATTGCTTGTGTACAACAACTACATATGTATGGTTCTGAGCATCATCCCCGCCCCCCGTGTGGTTCAGTCAGATTAGGGAGCTTATGGGAGTAATTAGAGTTGACCACCAGGAAAAATCTGGTCCCCAAAGACACAGAAGAGACCACAAAAAGCATGTCGGCTTATTTGAATCATCTTTTTCTCTGAAGCCAGGCTGGCCTTTGCCAATAAGAGGTGAACATTTTGAAACTACACACGAATCAATACTTAGCTAAAGGTAATAGGTAGTATTAATCACAGAGAAATCTGTTATGCAGGGAAATATAGCAGGCTAAGTAGGAAGGTTGGTCGGTAATGCAAAGAACACACACTCTGCAATATAATGGACACTCACTTGTGTTTTATCTCCACATCATATCTGTGACTTTGAGCAATTCTCTTGATCATTCTGAGCGTCAGTTTCCTTTTTTTTTTTTTAAATGCACCACTTTGGGCTGGGGATTTAGCTCAGCAGCATAAGCGCCTTCCTTGCAAGTGTGCGGTCATGAGTTTGATCCCTGGTACTGATAAAAACGAAAAAGACAAAAAAAA